GTCACATCTTGTTTTACAGGAAGACCAAATGATTAAATTTCGATATAAAAATACAAAGAAATGGGGTTTTTGTAAATTCTTTGGCATACACTGTTAAATAGGGGTACAACTGAGGATCCAATCTTAAAGGGTTAAAAGCCATTTTTTTGATGAAATATAGAGTGGAATTCAAACGGTCTGCTTATGGCAGCTGAATCACATCCACAAAGAACTGACTGATGACTTGGAAATGAACAAAGTGTTAAATAGCTTTTGCTTTGGGAGTGACAGGCACACTCTGTACTTTGGAAAATCAGCCTATGTTAGAAGGCATATGAGATATAAAGACTGCAATTTGATACACCATGAATTTTGATTCTCTTTTGAACCCTATTAAAAAACCATTGACTGGTTAGTTGGTTACAGTATAATCTTTGGGGAGTTTATTTTTTAAAGTTTTGGGTTTACAAAGTGGATTTATCTTCACTCTCTCTTCTTAACCTGTCTGCTGCAAGCCACGGAGGTGCCACCCCCACTTGTAGCCGTCTGTGTGCATCCAGAGTTCTATGATACTACCTCACATTTATACAGAGAATGGACAAAAAAGAAGATTGCTGGAGAAAAGTAAGAGAGGAGGCTGGAAAATATGTCTGTTACTTGATCGGTTTTTCTTTACTATGAGCTAAGTTAGCATAGCTCTGATGAACCAATCTCCCTTCAGAAAAAAGTATTTTAAATGTTGTTTGCTTGTTGTCTTGCACACAGGTATGAATTCAATCACCATCATCCATTTATTGACATTAAATCACAGCAAAATCTGTTTATTTTTTTGGCTCATAAAAAAGCTGGATGTCCTCCCACTTTAAAACTCATTGGCTCTGTAATACTGTCACCTCACTTCCTCTTTTGGTCCCATCGTAATTACTACGGCCACTCGAGGGCTTTGTCACCTGAACATTAACATATGTTGATTTTTGGAGACGCTTCCTGAAACAACTGATACTGTCATTCTTTGTGTATGTGTGAAGCATGATGCCCAGCCATCAGTCATCCTCCTATGAAAAAGATATACATTTTAATGTATACAAATAAATCACATGTATGAATTAGTGCTGATAATGTTAGAAAAGACAAACTGATGACTATCCCATTGACCTCGGCACCCTTTCCTCTGACAGTCCATCAATGGGAGCCGACTACGCAAACCAGCCCTCCTGCAAAGATGAAACATCTCCAATATTTATCTCTGTGCCTCCATTGCTCATCCGGGCCGCCGCAAGGTCATCGGCGTGTGATGAGAATCTATCGCGCCAGCCGTCCTTGGGAGTCTTTCTTCTTTGGCTTTGGGGCAGAAAAGGAGTAAAGCATTAGTGCTGGCCCCTCAGCAGAGAGATATTCCAGTCCAAGTGAGCCCTCCCTCCTCCACAGTAACGGTATAGATCAGCCTGAAGGTGACAGAGAAGCCTGCCTCGAGTCAGGATAACAGGCCTGAGGATGCAGGCTCATCCAGGCACTGTGGACACTGTAACCCACTATTGATTATCTCTGGTGCCCCGTGGGATGTGTTGGATGTGATGGGAAGCAGAGGCAGTGCATACATCACTGATATTAATTATGATTCTCGTTCGACGCTGGGAAGAATGTGAAGGGGGCTGAAATTGAACGACCGTATTGTATCGCTTCTGGGGGCAGAGCAGCATGACACTGCTGCACTGATACTGCGAGTGTGTGTGTGTGTGTGTGTGTGTGTGTGTGTGTGTGTGTGTGTGTGTGCGTGCGCGCGCAACGGGGTGCTGTAGGTCAGAAGAAGGGGGAGGGCAAGGAGGAAAGAATGATGACTTTTAATCTCAGGGGACAAACGTTTGCAGTTCCTCGACAGCCACCTTCTAACACACACACCCTCATGTCACTCACACACACACACACACACACACACACACACACACACCATTTTTCTCTCTTATTCATATCTACCGCATGTAGTCAGAGGAAATTACTGATGGACATCACAGTGCGCTGAATATCCTCAGACAAGCACATACACACACACACACACACACACACACACACACACACACAAACATTCGTAGAAGCAGAATATTTGTATGAATATAAAACTCAGCCCACATATTAGCGGTTCGGATGATGGATTTCTCGGTGCCTCTGTCCCTGATTGAAAGCTGTCCTGCCCACCCTGACCTGACACCAGCAGAGCTATTCCCCTGGTAGCAGTTACATGGAGGTGGTAACTGTCTGTTTGTGGAGTGATAAACTTTCGCTGTCAGCAGTCATTTTTTCTCTCCTTTCATGGGGAGAGAGAGAGGGGGGCGGGGTCTGTAAGAGGTCCCTGATGTTATGGCCCCAAATAAATAAGCAGGATGTAGGAAATGTTTATATTTTGTGACAGCTCCCCTGGTTGGGTTTCTGGGTTCACAGTCAGAAAAAGAGAAAAATCACTGGGGAGAGAGTTACATTTCAAAAAAATGCAGTATATATACGCTTATTTTCTTCTGTCATTATACTCTAATCCAGGTTTCCACCATCAGTCACATGGATCCTCAGCAGAGCTCCGTTTGAGCTGACTTGGTATTTTTATAGTATGATTTGGATCAAAAGTCCAAATATGTGCTTTTATATGCAAAATACAGTTGAGAGAGGTTTAGTGGCATCTAGCAGTGAAGGTGCAGATTGCAACCAACTGAATACAGCTCTACTCACCGTCCAATCTTTTAGGAGAAACTACGTGGGCCGCACAACTCACAGAAAACTAGAGCTAGATCTAGAGCTACTGTAGAAACATGGTGGTTCAACATGGCAGACTCTGTAGAAGACCCACTACCTCTGTAGATATAAACTGCTCAGGTAATGAAAACACAATGATTGCTATATTCAGGTGATTATGCACTAATGAAAACATACCTATTAATAATATATTCCATTTCTGCCAATAGATCCTCCTAAATGGTACACAGTAGACGTTTAATTCCATGTTTTATTCTCATTTTCATCCACAAATTCACTCAACCAGACAGTCATCTAGTCTTTATCTTCCAATACATCTTACTAGCAGAAGTTTATTTTCAGTCTCTTATATAAACTATGTTTATATATTACCTATTAACACCAGCAAATATCCTGTGAGAGAAATATAATGCAGGCAGAATTACATTCTTTGTCAGCATAGTGAGAAAACCTTTTAATGAATTTATTTGCCAAATGTTCAAAGACATGTTTTTAATTTGTTTTCCTGACAATATCTGCTCTTTAAATCCAATATAGTGGCAAATAAAGCATGATGAATGTTTCTGTTTAGGCACGTGCAACACTTGGTTAGAAAAAGATGAAGCAGATGCAGGACTCCAGTGTCACAGGCCTGTGCTTTGTGCAGCCACCCCCCACCTACGAGTTCCACAGAGTAGCTCTCAACAGGAAGCTTGATTCAAACAGCATGTAGCAAAACAAATTAAGGGAGATACAGAGGTCAGAGTTTATCAAAGAGAGCTTGGCTCCTCTTAATGAGACATGAGCTCCCCTGAAAACATGATTTGTGAGATTTGGGTCTCTTAAATATTGTCCATATTCTATTTTTGCCATGCGTCTGAGAAGCTCTCAACTTAAGGAAGCAGATGTGATTGTCAGCATGTTAGTATTAAACGCCAGATTTTTAAATGGAGTTTGGTTTACAGAGGTGTTTTAGTTTTTTTTATTTAAAGAGTAACACTGATGCAGCTGATGACTCAGAGACACTCTCAACTTTAAGAAGCACATGAGATTGGCCATTAGCATGTTAGTTTTAAAGTGCCAGATTTTGAAATGGAGTTTGGTCTGTGGAGGTGCAGAGATTTAAAAGAGTAACACTGATGAAGCTGATGACTCAGAGAGGGTTTCAACTTTAGGGAGCAGATGTGTTCCATTTCTGTCTTTCTGTATCTTCATTATCATGGATGATGTGTAAAGTTAGGCTATTACTGATATATGACTCAAAACTAACTTTATTAGTCCCACTCAGTCCGTGCCCCAAATCACCATTATTCATACCTCTGTTTTGTAGTCAGCATACTGCGCCGCAATCAGCCAAGCCCCCCCCGAAGAAAAGGTTAGCTCCCCCACAAGCTGTGGTATAGTTCACACACTACGGCTATTCAGTCTAGTATTTTTGTGGGGCCCTCCTCACATGAGGGGCCTGTATACTCTGCAGTTGTATAATATCTTCTGTGGCCCTGGTGAAGCTAGAAAATGACTCTGATGATGTAATAGTGATGTCACCAGGGTCATCTCAGTTTAGGCTTGGAGATAACAGAAAGCCTGCATTACAAACAGAGGGCATGAAGTTTCTTAAGAAAATATATTATGTGTTGCATTATGGGAAATGTAGGATCCTGACTTAAAGTCAGTTTATGTTGGCTGTATAGCCACTTCAAATTTAGACCATTCTGTTTTTAATGTCTCTTCTGAGTCCCCCGACTTCATAGAAGTGCGATAATAAAAGGCTGGAGTGGCCCTTTAAAAAGCTCAAAGGGAGTTGAATACTTTTTATAGGCACTTGCGTTTGTGGTGGAAACCGTCTGGAAAATTAAACCTATATCTATAAAAATCCACTGGAAGAAATCATTTTTATTAACTGTCAAACCATCCTGCCAGTGGGATGCCACCTGTTTTCAGTGCAGACTGTTTTCTTGCTTCTTCTCCTATTTTTTCAAAATAAGAGTCATTAATAGCCTTGGCGCAAGTGATCTGCATCATTATGATCATTTGTTTCAAGGTATTCCTGAAGGGAGTCCAGCTGCTTTGGAAACAACACGAATGAAACAGCAGGACCTCTGACATAAGTTGGTTCTCAGAAAAACATCATTTTATAACGCTGAATGTTTTTTTCTGGAGTTTTATGTTCTGATTTTCTGAACCCTCCGCTGCTCATCTCCTCAGTGACATGAGGCTGAGAAGGGGCGTGTGTGTGTCTGTGTGTCTGTGTGTCTGTGTGTAAGGGGGTGTATCAGGTGGGGGGGCAGCCTACAAAATGAGAGAGTCAGCCGCTGGAGGAGCAGATGTGAGAGGCGCACTGTAGGGGCCAGACGCGCCACGATAATTAGCCGCGGATAAATTAACGGGAATAACCGGATTATGATGATTTGAGGAGGAGAAGTCGCCAGAGTCCGGTGTCATACAGAACGAAGGATTAAGTTAGGCGTCTTCACTCCTCCGATCGCCGTTATGGGGATAGACCGGCGGCGGAGAGCATCGCTGGCTCTCACCTTGAACTTCCTCGCGTTGTTCCTGGCCGTGTCGGCTCTCACCACCAGCTACTGGTGCGAGGGGACGCGGAAAGTGGTGAAGCCGTTCTGCACCGGCCCGGTCACCACCAGGCAGTCGTTCTGCATCAGGTTCAACAGCTCCAACCTCAACGACACGCGGTTGGTGCAGTACATCTGGGAGACCGGCGAGGATAAGTACGTGATGAGGAAGTTTCACACCGGAATCTGGTTCTCCTGCGAGCAGAACATCAACATGACCGGTAAGTTTGTAGAGGAAGGTGCCGGGATGGAACCGGGACCGGAGCGCAGCAGGGCGCATGGGCTGTGCGCGCGGAGAGGTGCGCCACGGAGACCTAAGTCGATCCAGTAACCCATAAAAATAAGTCCTACTTCTAGAAACATATTCCGTAAAAAAAAAAAAAGAAAAAAATGTAATCCTGCTTTACCACAGAGCAGATCTCGGGATTAATCTCAGAAAATAATTTGAAAGTTAGATTAAAAATATCATCACAAACGCATAATCCCATATCTTAACACCTGGCCATCAGTATTGAGAATTAAAGCAGGTTTTTGTGTTCATCCAAAGAATATTACACGCAGGAGTTTCATAGCAAGGTTTTAATAAAGTGAGGATGAGGATAAGGGCCATATGATAGATAAGTTTTATTACTGTTTCCAAGTTTAACAAAATCAATCTGATAACTCAAAGGTATTTAGTTCATTATCATACAAGAGTAAGAAAAGCTGCATCTTCACCTTCCACAAACCAGAGACTGCTGCTACTTTGTTTTAAAATCTGATCAAACTAGTTGCTGATTAACTTTCTGTCCATTAAAGGATCAGTCATTGCTGCTCTGTTTAATTGTGTCATGGACAAAGCAAGATTAAATTATTTTTATATCCACTTCAGATGGATGTTTTACTCTACCTACAGCATTTACTACAGTGTGTGAAAGCACTGCAATTGATTCATGGGCCAGTTCCAGATAAGCCAGCTGAGAGCTGCATGGATCTAGGAAATGTGGCTACAGTGTCTGTGTCTGTCTCCAGACCACCATACAAGCATTTGTTCTGTTGGCACTGAAATGCCACAGAATTTTTTGGCTGGCACGCCGCTGAAAGCTGGATTTGAGGCGGGAGATTCTGACATGCTGTGTGTGTGTGTGTGTGTGGGGGGGGGGGGGGTCTTAGAGCTTGTTATTGAACGAAAGGAAATCCCTTCACAGATTGGATCAAATGGTGTTTTTCAAATTTTAGTTTAGATTCACAGCTTTACCTTTGGCACACAAAGTGAAATAGGTTACCTGTGATTTTCTGCCTCAATCTGGAAAACTGATGGAATACAGATGAAGTTCCCTGTCTCACTTTATCAGCATGTTGCAGTGGTGAATTTACTGCCACTGAGTGTCAATGAACTGTCTCATTTGTAATCTTTTCCAGGTGAAAAATGCAGAAGTTTTCTTTACGTTGCGCCTTCAAATGAAAGAGGTAAGCATACAGTTCGCACATCACAGTCCACCATTCATTCCGTAGAACGTAACGCCATTTTTCACATGAGGTGGAAAGGTTGCTCACAGCAGGAAAACCAACCTTTTTTTAAGGCCTGACATCTTCAGCTCTCTCAACGTAAAGGCTGTTTACTCTAAGTAAGTTGCTTATAGCTCTGTGGTGACCATTTTGACTGAAGTGGACATTTTAGAGAAGAAATTTAAGATCTTTTGTCACAGTGATGAAATACCGGCAATGCCTGTACCAGTCAGACAGTCGGAACATCTGTCAGCCTCAGAGAGCCGCATGTTCTCATTCTTTTTATCTTTAAGCTTACATTACATCTGAAGCCACATCAGTGGGCTCACTGCTGGTTACTTGTAATGAAAGTACACCAGGGCATTAGCTTATAGTATCTTTGCTTTGAACAAATAAATCTTCCTTTTTTTCTCTAATGTGATCAACGGTGTAATACCAAGGCTAAATCATTCCTCATTACAGTGGAGCTGTTAGTTAATAAGTAAAGTGGTGTTGCAGCAAATCCTACAGTCTCATGCCCTTTAATCAGTTCCCTCAGCCCTCCTCCTGAGCTGCTTTTCACTCTCTGCCTTTAGTCTGATAATCAGACTGTGAGTTGGCATCTTGTTTCACCTCATTATTCAGTCTGACATTGTGTTCCTGTTGGCCGTTTTATGTTTGGGAGGCGTTGATATTTTTCCAGAATCAATTACGTATGCACCCCCACATAGGTGCAGTACAGTTTGCCAGGAGCAGCTTGTTGATCAAAGTATTGTAATCAGTTATTTCTGTAAGTCAATTTACAGCAAGCTGCATAGTAGCTGCGTCATCCACACATTTTCCGGGCAATGTTTCTGTCAGCATTTTTCTGGCTGTGAGTCAGGAAGATGATGTCCCAATCCTTGAAGTAACCAGACTGTGCCAGATGGTTTATTACAAAGAACCATGAGGGACAATGTTGTTGAAAACTGTTGGGCAGGGGTTTGCAAAAAAAATTCTGGGCAGGTGATTGGATGAACCATCTGTCTATCACCAGCTATCATGGGTGAACTTCAAACTTCGGACTTCTTATGTGCCATAATGTGACTAGCATGTAGTCTACGGATGTCATACATTTTAATTTTAATCATGACCAATAAAGCTGTTCTTTCACTAATATTCTCAGTTCATTGCACCATTGCATATAAAAATATTTGTTTTTTGTTGTGTTCAGGGAATATACTGCGCCAAACTCTGTTTAAGAAATATGGCATTTTAACAATGTCCGTAACAACACGGAACACAAGATAAAGTGTGTCATCTGCCACAGTCTGACGATTTTGTCTCCTGAACTCGTTACAGTCCTCGTCGTGATTGGGAGAAGACCTTGGGAATGACAGGACTGTTTTCATAATTATTATTTCTCACTAAAATAAGTGCTGACTGGTGGATTAAATATATGCCACATTACCATCCCGGTGCCTCACAAGGTTATCCTTAAAGGTTAAGGCTGGGTAATATTCTTTTCTTAGTTTCAACAATAGACCCCACGAAAAGAGAAAAAAACAACGATGAAAAAGTGTTGCCTGTGTTCTCCTGTGAATAAATAAATTGAGCGTGTTAGCATGTTAAATGGTAATGGTGAATAGCTCAAACTTGCAAAATATCAGCAAAGTGCAGCAGACTGTAATTCATTGTGAAGATATTAGGTTAAATAACATGCTATTAGACGACCTGAAATCTTAACCTGATGATGTTTCCAGATGCGTACAAAGTGCGTACATGTCTGCAACAAATTTCATGGTAATCCATTCAATTGGTGTTGAGGTATTTTAATCTGGAACAAAGTGGTGGACAGACCCACCAATCAGTAATGATAATAAAATACTAATAAGGAACAACATTGTTCCTAATAAATGTGCTATTTCTTCCTGCTTGAGCAACGTTCACTAAAAACTACAGTGCCCAGCCACTTAAGACATTTCTTTAAAAACATCTATATTTGTGTGGTGTTTATTTAAATACAGAAATCTTCAGACCCCCTTGGAAGCCGGTGCATTTACACAGTTTGGTGTTCTGGTATTGCACGACCACTAGGGCTGGGTATCATTGGGATTTAATAGACACCAATAGCAATATACTGCTTATCGATACCAATACTTATCAATACTCTTTGATACTACTCACCATAATTTGATGCAAAAAATGACGACAGAAAGACAACATGAAAAGATGTTAAGTTATTTTATTATTACGTTTTTGCAGAAATAAGTAAAATTGTTTCCTGAGTTGTTGAATTGTCGTTCAATTTAGAGTGAGCACACACTTTTGAACGTTTTGCCCTGTCAGCTGCTTATGTAACGTTACATAAATACAGATAGCAGTATCATTTGTCCAGGAGCTTATCTAAATGTTGGTACTGACCGTTTAATATGGGTTCTCAATGCGCATCCCTAATGACCCCGTTCGCTTTACATTCACTTGAGAGCATCAGCCTCTTTTGCTACAATTTCATCTGCATGCCACTCTGGTATCATATGATTAAAATATTAGATCTATCAAAGAAAAATGAGAGGAAAATCTCTTACGAAATGAGCTTAATTTTTAAGACTTTAAATGTCCTCCAATAACATTTTCCTTAATCCCCTTTTTCATATTATAAATTTAATTTAAAAAATCTTTTACTGAAGTGTAGAATTCAATTCAGAGCAGGTAAAAAAAAAAAAAAAACTCAGCTGAAGGATATAAATCATCATATCTAATTCATAATTCATACAGGGATATTTTTGGTAACAGACATATTACTTTAGTCCACTTTGTGATTAACTACACAATAACTACCTGCCCTTGGGTGATATATGCAATTACACTACAGCTTACATTTGCAGGATTTTTAATCCGTTGATATTTTGTCCCACCACGCACACCGACCTCAGCTCAGGATGTTGTACGTCTCTTGATGGATCATATATCCTTTCTCTGACTGTGAAGGTTAATGATATGGGTGACGGGGTCAATGATCCACCTTTCCCGATTCTCCCCCCCTTCCTCCTTCTTTCCCCCGTCCTTATCCTCCCCCTTCACCCTTGCTTACCCATATTCTTTCTCAATTCCCCACCCCCCTTCCCTCTTCTCTCTCAATTCCTATCACTGCACCCGCTCCATCACTCACTCAACCGTGTTTCACCTCCTCCCCCACAACATGAATATGTCTTTTTTTTCCCTTCTTCTTTGCTATTTCTTTTTCCTAACCAATTCTCTCCGTAGGAGTGCTGTGGCTGTGCATTGTTGCCGAGTGCCTGTACATCCTCCTGCTGGCCACCGGAGGCATCCTCATGTCCATAGAGGTGTGTCACTTTGGCAATGTCATCGACGGCCTCAAGCTCAATGCCTTCGCTGCCATATTCACTGTGCTCTCAGGTGAGTGCCGTCACAGTATTTGCTGTCTTTGCCATCAAATGGAGTCCAGTTGAATGAATCTAATCCAAATGTTGAAATTAGATGGCTGCAGACCTCATCTCTAAATATCTGCCCCATGTTGTTTTTTTGTTTTCGTCGAAGTGGAAGTGAAATTTAAATTCTCCTCACTTTTTGTTGGAGAAAATGCACAACTTTAACAATACGTTACCAGTTTTCACAAGAGGATAAAACAGTTTTTGGATGTTTGCACGATGTAGCTGTGTTAAGGCTTTAGGTCTTTAAGTGGATACTGCAGAATGTCAGTAAATACAAGAGGTTTTTTCACCCTCTTCAACCAGCCCACATCGGCTATCAACTGATTGTCTTTACGTTGTTCAACACTTGCGAGGACCCATCCTGCTGGTAATTTTGTATTCCACTCGGAAAGTGGAAGCTAGCATGCTAGGTTAACTAGAAAGTGAGGACTATATAACCTTACTTGTTAACGTTATTTCCACTAGATATTACTTTTCGTTATATATTATTCGTCACAATATATAAACTCCTACCGAGTAGGAATGAGGGATTCTAGCTAGCTGCTGTCTCTTTCATGGGTCCATGTCTGGTTATAAAAGACCAGACTGTCAAAACTCACAGTAACACGTAGTCCTGTAACATCAGCATTCTGTACGCTACCTTGTGATTTGAATTTGATACCAAGTAACGCATAGAATCACGGAGTAACATAGGAACTAAATGGCTAGCAATGTCGGTTCCCAACTATTTGTTTTGTGTTTGTGTGACAAACTGGTTTTACTCGTCACTGCAGGAAAATATATCAAATTTACATTTGTAAACAAATACTAAGGAATATATACTGATATCTTAGCAGAAAATAATATTCATTTCAGTTAGAGCTTAAAACAATTGAGTCCTTAGTTCTAGTTCCAGGCACTTGGCCAATCACATACCCAGCCCAGTTGCAGCCCCTCAGCCCCTGAGAAGATTTCCAGTTGGTTTGCAGTCTGCCTCCCTCTCTCGGTGGAGGACTTAACAATGACCTTCTCTCTAATCCACTCTGTGAAAATGATCCTGACCACCACACTCTGGGCAGTGAATCAGCAGTGCAAGATGCTCTGCTCAACAGCAATGACTCGCAGCATTTTAGTGACTTGACAGGTTAGGTTCAGGAAATGTCTGAAAGAGCCCGAGGCTGAATAATTATAGCCCCTGTAAAACCTGGGTTCTGGCATGTTCTTTGATGACCATATGCACAGTATCTATTTTATTAGAAACGCCTCGGTAGTTCCAGTAAGGCTGCCTTTTTGTTCTACAATAGCCTGAATTCTTGGGTGCATGGAGTCAGCATCGTGGTGGAAAGTAATGAGGGAATCTCTGTGCACTTGTTGCAGTCATCATTGGAAACTAAAGCGAAAGGGGCAGTCTAATGTCGTCTATCACGGGTAAATCAATCAGATCAACCAACCCTATCACGTAGTCAAACTCTTACTGAAGCCAGTTGGGAGAAGAGCGAAAACGTCTTTTCCATCGAGAAAAGCCTTGAGATCCATTCGTTGTTCTTCTTTTAATGAAGAAATACTCTCTAGTTCTGATACAATGGATGCTAGCACCAATCATTTTAACCTACACTAACCTTCATGGAAGTCGTCTTTGTGTTTTAATGAATGGTTTCTTCTCGGCCGTCACACCTAGCGCCCACCCCTGTAGCTGCCAGTACTTCCTCCGTACATTACCACTGTAGTTGGGCCAAAAATATATAGTTTGAAGCCTGGAAAGATGGATTCTCACCATGATCTCGTTTTTCTTGCGAGTCCAACTGCCTCGCAAATTTAGAGTTCTTGATGAACAACAGTTTATCCATCTGCCCAGCACTTCTTAACAGCGTCTCCGGCTTATAGCATGAGTTGCCAGATAGGGTCAGTGAGCACAGTTACCCAGGACAGAAACCTTCTTTACAGGCACTAATGTACCAAACCTGGAAACCTCACTGTGTTGGTGGGTGTATTTTCGAACTTGAGTCAAGCCATTTCCCCCTGCTTCCAGAACTATTGGATAGCCTAGCTGTACTCACAGACAGCTCTGTACTTTACTCATAGAGCAGAGAATGGTATTGATCTTCTCAGTTCTTCAGGTCGTTACAGTAGCTCCTGCAAATTCCAGGGGACCATTTTGTCTGTTTGCTTTCAGTCAGTCTAAAAGACTGGCCAAAAGTCATAATAGACATGTGGGAGTAAGACCAAGGATGAGGACCACAGTTTCCCTTTATGTCTTTATTAGATTTAGGTAAGGAGAGTGAAGTCACTGTCATATTCCTCGAATTATCATGAGATCAGAAAAAATGATCTTCTTTAAAGTCCTCAGCTTTGGGTCAGTAAAGGAATGATAAGCAAACACAGTTGTGTTTGCTGTTGTTTCATTGTTTGACACACTTCTGACTCTATTGACAAAGATTTGGAGAAACTCTTTTTCAGAAACACAGGATATTAAAACCTTGCTGAGCATGAGGTTGCATATTGATCGCCTTGGAGTTAGAAATGGGATTCTCCTAGTCTGACAAATGCTTTGATTTTAGACTAAGTACAGAGTCAGAGTAAGTCCCCTTTGATCTAGTTGGCATGTGGAGCAATAAGAGGCTGTGCCCTTACTGGTTAAATATCCTTCAAACTTTGTTTTAAATGCTTGGTTCCTCATTAGTGTCATGTGACATCCATCTGTTCTTGTTGTGCAGTTCAGTACAAATGACATGTCTGCTTTAATATCAGGAAACAATGAGGTACATATAATTCCGAGAAACAAGAACCAAATCAGGAATTCTGAGTTAATCCCGCACACACCATCCTGCTCAGTAAATACTCACAAGTACACTACTTTTATATATTCATCCGCAGCCAAAAATAGTCCCCAACAAATCGATGTTTGTGCCTTTTCATGTAACTTTTCTACAATGCCTAGTTGATTTAGGAAATTACTAAGCCTTTTTGTAAAAACCAAATTATATATTTATGACTTAGGTTGAATGGTTTACATCATCAAAAGGCATCAATGGGCTAGGGATTTAGAGCCACAGACAGATTTTGGTCTTTCAATTGAATAAGGGCCCAAAGTTGATGTTGCCATTTTTGTGTCACGTGTAAAGCACCATCACAAATACCTCACAAGTTTAAGTAGAATTGTACATACATAATTCATACATGTTTACATAGTGAGCAGAATTTAAAACAGCCACACTAGATGCTAGCCATCGAATTAGTAAACATACAGAATGTTACATTATTGTAATACATTTCTTCTGCTTTACAAAAGCCTAGTTTCTGTCAATAAATATATTGCCTATTGTTGACATGTCCTTTGGCAAGGACAGAGCAGTGTGTGTGACTATGAGTGTGTGTGCTTGTGTGGCACTGTAAAGCGTTCTGCACAAATGTGTGATAAAGTAAGTGCAGTCCATTTACTATGTATCATTTAGCAGCTGATTCAGAGCTAATCAGGAACAATTCATAAGGTAGTGTTCAGTATGCATATTCAGATAGCTAAGCCTAATAATTAGACACTGGCTCATTAGCATGTATCTATCTGTTTTCAAGTTATTACTGCTTTTGTTATTCAGGATGCTTGTAAATTTTTTTTTTTTTTACTTATTTTTTGGCAACTGCTCAAGAATTTGTGTACCTTAAACCTGCATTACTTGGTTTCTTTTGGCCACTTGGGGGAAGTAGAGCTAGCAGTAGAAATGTACATATTATCACCTTGGTTGATAACTATCTGCAGATCCAGCAGAGATAGAGCAGCATTAGTATTCATTTGGAGTCATGAAAGTCCAATATTCTCTCTCTTTTAGCTCTGTTTTGGTCTCAGCCAACTCCTGAGGGATATATCTCTTTAGCAACAAAATGGTCCACTAAGTTCACCCGCTATCAGCTTACTTTGTCTGCCTGCTGTTTGGTGCCGGGCAGTGTATGAGCTGATGCCTGCTGCTGCTGGAAATGAGGTTAATGAGACTGAACCGAAACAGTAAAGCTGGAGGCTGTAAAAACAAAACAAATGAACTGAAAGACGCTAAAACGCTCTATAGCTTTAAAGCTAACTACAGAGAGTCGGGAGGTAATTCTCTTTGTTTATCATATCAGTGTTGGGCAGTAACTCATTACTAGTAATAATATTAAAGTAATAATATAACTTTCCCTAGTAACTTGTAGTGTAACTCATTACTAATACATTTCAGTAATAATGTTAATTAGTTACAATATTACTTTTGTTGTCACCTCACTACTGATGTGAAATCCAACAATCCAGTCACATCCTTGGATTCATTTTCGTAATCGTGGAGGTAACTAGAATGGAGGATAAAACAGGTTTTATTATAATGGGTCCATTATCTGTGTCTGTGAGTATCTGTTTGTGAAATGTGATTAGTGCACTTTTAATATGAAGTTACTCCATTGAATGAGGACTGGACAGGGCTTTTGTACAGAAGCCCAAATAATTTTTGGCATCCAAACAAGAACAGGCAACAAGGTGAGAGGTATACCTAACTAGCTCCCACTTGCCACTTTTGTCTTGGCAGACGATTTCTGGAAATATTACAAGGTCCTTAGCAACCTTGTACAAATACCCTTAACAAAACTTCAGCTCTTGCTCCACATCCCAGCATCGCAGGGTAAGGAAAACTGCAAGAAAACATTTGGGTTTCTGTGCATTCTACATCTAGCATGCATGGGGCATAGGTTTTATATTGAGCTGACACCATGTTAAGTATCAGTGTATCACAACAGAAAGGAATTGTTGACCGCCTTTCAGCCGTCCACTCGTGGCGTCCTCATCTTTTCGTCTTCAGCTGACAGGAGTTGAACCCGGCATGCTCTCCTGCTGCTGATGCTTCTAAAACACGAGCTTGAATGAGTTATGCTTTCACAGCCCTGCCCTGGCGTTTTGCCCGTTATAACTTTCAGTCGAACAGTATCTGAACCTGTCAGCCCTGTCTGCATGCGTTATGTTTTATT